AGGGGGTGTGTGGAGGAGAGAGGGGAAGGAGGGGGAAGGGGCCGCCTTGTGGAAAACTCTGCGGTACAGGACCCCGCTCTTGTACGGGTAATTGGATTCGGTCCGGCCGTATGATGGGCGGAGTGGACCGTTGGACCCCGGCTATTACTTCAGCCAGTACGGCGATGGCGCCGCGTCGACCGTGTCACCCCCCCCCTCCCCCTCCCACCATCTTCTCTGCTCTCTCGCCTCCCTCACTCTCCATACACCCGGGCAGCGGGGCCTCTCTCCGCTGTGTTGCCGTCGTTGTGTTATTTTCATTGAAATCAGAACTCGAATATGTATATAATTTTGTAAATTGTGTGTTTTGTGTGATGCTGATGTGAAGCGGAGCCGAGTGTGGTGGAGCCAGAGTACACAACACACGCATCACAAACTCTCGAGCCCTCTTTGCCGTATGCACACAATACACGCCGCGGCATGCTGTCATGTATTGTAAGTTGACGATTAGGAGAGATTTTTGTGCGTCAATCTATATTTATGTTTCATCATTTGTAAGAAGCAGAGTAGCTTATTTTATTACTCAATTTGCAATAAACGTTCACACTTGTAAAATAAAAATTAGATGTAGATTTTCCGGAAAAATTTCCCGTCTCGTAAAATTACAATTCAAATTGGTCAAATTACAAGCACTTATTTGTGATTCAGCGAAGAGCAAGTTTGTAGAGTCGTAAATTTACAACATATACATAAATATTAACTACAAAATTCATCGTAAATTCACGAGAATACTTTTCACGGTGGCAGCAATAGTCAGTTTACAATTAAATATACCAAACTAATCGCACGAGTGTCTTCTTTGTTAACGAGAACGAGACCAGAACGAGTTTATCCCGCGAGCAGGAGAGAGGGAAGAAAACAAATAATAAGCTTTTTCTTTTTACCCTCGCGAATATCCCATCATTTCCCCCCGAGGGGAACGAGATTTTAATCACACAATGCGCGCGCGCGCCATCAGCCCGGATGACAACCATCATCATGAGCTTGATGGTCACGGCGAGGAGGACGAGGGCCGTCACGCGAACAGGGGGACGCAAGGCACCGCCTCTCTCTCTCTCTCTCTCTCTCTCTCTCTCTCTCTCTCTCTGTAACGAGGCCGTGGAGCAGGGAGGCTGAAAGAGAGCAGGCACGCCACCGGGTCGGATGGACGCTGCGAGAAAAAATAATACTCTGGAAATCACCTGGAGGTGTGTGATGAACTATTCACACACACGTAGGCGTGCGAAAAGAGATTCGTACCCGTCCCCGAGTGTGAGAATGGTCATTCGCACCTACAGGTGTGTGAACATTCTGTCGCACACATGTATTTGCAGTGTACTTCTGACACATGTTTATAATTTACGATGCAAATTTAAAGAAAAATTTAATTTAAAGAAACAAGTATATTAAATTTACAGTTTCGTGACATTTTTGGGGGGGCGGGTCTTCCCGGAAAACGTCACAGTGGATGTGGACCGAATGCTCTGCTGGAGCGAGGTGGACAGGACGACCCTACCTGGCCACTACGACCTTTAGTGTCCACCTACGCGCCTTTATTGAAGATTCCAGCGCCCCCTGCAAACCTCCTCTGGACAGTGGAACCCCTGGAGCGCAAACTACAGGAGGGCGCTGGAAATGGCCTGTAGATTTGTTTGCTTATTTTGTGTTATCTTGTAAAATTCGATAGCGCTCGTTCGAGGCGACATCGTCAAGCGGAATAAAGGGCGTTTACCACGAGGTAAGCTGGCAAGTAGTAAGTTCAGCGTATGTATTCAGGCTCTCATAGCGCCTGGTAGGTAGGCAATATCATGCCTGCGGTGCATGTATGTACTGCGGGTTGGCCTACCCCGAGCCTGGCAGGCGCCAAGCTCCCGTCAATTTGCTGAACGAATCTAAAAAAAATCCTGACATTCCTTCTGGCCGATCCCTTAGCGCAGGCCTCGGTCGGTACGGCCCAGTCGTCCCGACGCCCCCTGAAGCTGGAGCCGAGCCCGATCCCTGTCCCGATCCAGAACCTATAATCACCCCTTTAGCCCAATCATTCTTCGGGGTGGGTTCGCCCGGCCCCGAGCTCCTTGACCCTTGCCTGATGCGACCCCGCCCGGCTCCTCCCGACCGCAGGACCCCCTCCCCTTCTCCCTCCCCTTTCAAGTCACCCGCCGTCGAGGCCCACGCCCGCACCCCGCCTCACCTTTCCTGTAACAGGCAAATTAGGTCGACTATGCATGGGCAAAGTTGTCGAGGCAGGTTAGCCGGTAATATTAATTTCACATCTACGGCGGAATAGGATGGATATCAGCTGGGGGCTTCATCAGCAGCTGCCGCCCCCCGCCGTCGTCGGTACTAGGAACTAGGCCAGCGGCTCGCAAATTATGCTAGCCCTGGTACGGCGCGTAGCGTATACGAAGGTTGACGTTTTCAAACGCTATTTTTTTCACATCTACAAGGAATGGAATAATAGATATCAGCTGCGGGCTTCATCAGCAACTGTCGCCGTTGGTACTAGGAATTAGACTAGGA